TACATAGTATAATATTATGATGTTATCAATATTCAAATATCAACATCGTAGAGGTGGTGGACCATCAATACTATTCGAGAACCCAGCTAAAGGTCTTAGTGGTAGTAGTAATACTACTACTACCTGATCATCATCATCATTTTAGGTGCTCTTGTCGCCTTGAATCTTGGCTCATTCTTATGCATTATGATTGGTGTCATATTTACACAATTGAGAGGGGAGAGTTGTGATGATCCATTATCTGCTTATCTAACTACATTGGCTTTCTTTGCCTTATTCCAATCCTTTGTATTCTTGTAATAATATTGTAGTTTTATGATGATGAATATTAGTAGCAGCATTAGTATTATTCTCAGATACATAAGTAGCAGTAATTATGGTTCTGATGTTATATGGGCTTGTATTACATTAGTACTTTTTACTATGAGTACTATACAGTTCTTGGTGCTAACTTGGGGTACGCTTATGATATCACAAAATCTAGCATTCCTAGGGGTTTATCAATGTATCAAGTGTATGGATCCTATAGTAAGTGGATAATAGTAGTTAGTAGTAATACTTATTGTATGTAGACCAAAGAGGAACGTGATGCTTATAAGTGTCTACCTGGGGATGAATGTAAAGTATGGACTAGGACAACATCAGTAATAATAATAACAACAACAAGACAACCACAACTACTACTACTATCATCATGTATACTATTATATATTGCTTACTACTACTACTTTCAGTTTTGTCCACCATTCGATGAGAGTGATATAGCATGTGAATTGGATACATTATGTTCGAAGACTTCACCCTATCTATTCTGGTTATCATTGATAGTAACTATATTATATATGCCTCTTATGGCTGGTACATCTTATATACTATGTGCTAGATTCATACCATCATTCATGTCACAATTAAGGCCTAACACTTCATCATCAACATCCAAATAATAGTGTATCATCATCTCTAAGAGGAGTGATTGTGTTATTATTATTACCACTAGTATGATCATCATAGATATTATTATCCCATAATGGCTCAATCAGTTGGTAATCTTGCTACATTAACATCAGAAGCTGAAGGAGTATTCTTATCTAATGGACTTACTGCTGGTGTTAGATCTGATGGGAGGGTAGGCGGTAGCGATAGCAGCGGCCTACTATAACATAATGTAACTATTCTTGCTCTCAGAACTGTCATGATAGACGACCAATATCAATAACAACTAATACGATAAGTGCAGCTAACGCTAGTGCTACATTGGATTGTGATAATACCCATATCATCGTTGGTATCAAAGTAGTAATAGTAATAATACTCATGACATACTTCATCATCAATTACATAGACTGATATCACTACATTACCATCCGGTGCTGTTAACCGATGCCGATTAGTACGTATAGGTGTGGAATGCCCTGAGCAACCAGGAGGTAGTAGTAGTAGTAGTAGTAGTAGTAGTAGTAGTAGTAGTAGTAGTAGTAGTAGTAGTAGTGGTAGTAGTAGTAGTAGTAGTAGTAGTAGTAGTAGTAGTAGTAGTAGTAGTAGTAGTAGTAGTAGTAGCAGTAGTAGTAGTAGTAGTAGTGGTAGTAGTAGTAGTAGTAGTAGTAGTAGTAGTAGTAGTAGTAGTAGTAGTAGTAGTGGTAGTAGTAGTAGTAGTAGTAGTAGTAGTAGTAGTAGTAGTAGCAGTAGTAGTAGTAGTAGTAGTAGTAGTAGTAGTAGTAGTAGTAGTGGTAGTAGTAGTAGTGGTAGTAGTAGTAGTAGTAGTAGTAGTAGTGGTAGTAGTAGTAGTGGTAGTAGTAGTAGTAGTAGTAGTAGTAGTAGTAGTAGT